GTAAAGGACTTGCTCGACGAGTCGGTGGAGTTCTCGAGGGACCCCATCAAGGAGACCCCCATCGGCCGCAAGCTGGTCGAGATTTTCTGGACGATTGCCGAGAAGTCGGGGAGTGACATCCGCCTCGACATCGGTGTGCCTTTCCGCCCCAAGGCGTGGCCGCGATCCTCGATCGACCCGGCGCTGTGGCGCTGGCGGCCGACGCTGTCCTTTCCGTGGCCGAAGTCGTCGAGGGAGCTGCATATCAACGCGCTCGAGTTGAAGGCGGTGAACGCTTCCTTCGGCACAGGACTCGCACTACATCGTTCAGGAGCGTGAAGGTTCTGCACCTTGTCGATTCCCAAGTTGTGGCTTCGATACTCACCCGCGGCCGCACGTCATCGGGGAAGCCTCGAGGACTCGCTCGACAGTACGCTGCTATACTCGTCAGTTCAGACTTGTATGTGGGCGTTGGGTATATCAATGCCAAGCTCAACCCAAGTGATCGGCCGCCCAGGGAGTTCTTGACTAAGAAATGGCGCCGAAAAGAGTCCAAGTGACAGCTCGCGGCGGCAGGCGTCGCAGTTGGTTGCATGTGCGTTCTCAATTCAGTAAGCGAGGCACGCGGCTGCGTGACCTACAGGTCACTAAAGCCACGCGTGATCGGTATGTTCGATGTGCCGGTCGCCTTTTTGTGTGGTGGAGGGCGCACAGTGTGAAGCTGTCCTCGCTCGACGACGTGGACAAAAGCTTCAGCTTGTACATAGAAGCGTGCTGGGCAGAGCTGGAGCCGCTTTACCTGGTGGTCAATGCGACAGCGGCTTTGCAGTGGATGATGCCCTCACTGAAGGGCAACCTGCAGCAGAGTTGGAGCCTGGTGCGAGCGTGGGAGAGACCGTGCACGCTCAGTCGGGCGACACCGTTCACGGCCGACATAGTCCTAGCCTTGGCAGCTGCAGCGTGGGACCTCGGCTGGGAAGGTCTGGCGGCCGTGATCCTCGTCGGTTTCGACACGTTCATGCGCACAGGCGAGCTGCTGGCTCTCAGACGGCGGCACATCCTTGTCGAGGGTGAGCGGGCTGTTATTCACATCGAGGCCTCGAAGATGGGACTGCGAACTGGCTTTTCAGAAGTGGTTTCTCTCAAAGACGGAGTGTCTCGAAAGATCCTAAAATACAGATGCTTGCAGCTGGGGTCGGAAGATCTGCTGTGTGGAGCGACGGCGCCTGAAGTTTGGAGGAAGTTGTCCTGGTTGCTTTAGATGTTCGAGCTTCAGGACCGAGGGTTCACAATGCATAGCCTCCGCAGAGGAGGTGCGGCCGCCCGCTTCACCCGCCATAGAAATATGGAGTATACTCTTCAACAAGGCCGGTGGGGCGGCACAAAAGTAGCCAGAATGTATTTGTCTCAGGCAGTTGCTGACACCGGCGCTCTCACCCTTCTGCCCAGCACCAAATATAGAATTCGAGCTGCCGCTCTCCGCTGGAAAGATATTTTAAGACAGCTGAAGTTGTCAGACTTGAACGGTAAAGTCAATCCAGTAGTCCTTGCCTGATGGCATCAATTTGAAATAGGTCGGCAGAGCCACAATAGGGGGACGTGGAAGGCTCTCGAGGGGTGGCCCCAGGGGATTAACACGTTCAACTGTGTTTCCTGGTGTTTGCGGGGCCAATTGTACTCGGCGGGCTGCCTTGCCCTCTAGGGGTCAGTGCGGCCGGCGAGCCGAGCTCGCTGGCTTGCTCGCTGACCTGCTGGAGGGTGCTGGTGCTCGCCGTGCATGGGCCCCTGCCAGGTCCCGGTGGCCGTTTCTCCTCGAGTGTGCTTGAGCCTCTTGCACTTTGAACCTGTGGCGGCGCGACGCCCAAAAAGAGGAAGCCCCAAACATGTAACATAACACCCTCGGGGTTGGGCGTATGTTTGGACCTCTTAGGCAAAGCGCCGCCGTCGAGCGAGCAGGTGATATAGTGTTCGCCCGACGGGCCTCGAGAGAGCTCAGGGTGAACACTCCTTCGCTCGATCGTTCCGTAGGTGTACGGCTCAAGCGGCCCTCCGTCCATCCCCAATTCTGCCACCTTGTAGGTCAGTAGCACGTTCAAGTGTGTTTCCTGGTGTTTGCGGGGCCAATTGTACTCGGCGGGCTGCCTTGCCCTCTAGGGGTCAGTGCGGCCAGCGAGCCGAGCTCGCTGGCTTGCTCGCTGACCTGCTGGAGGGTGCTGGTGCCCGCCGTGTATGGGCCCCTGCCAGGTCCCGGTGGCCGTTTCTCCTCGAGTGTGCTTGAGCCTCTTGCACTTTGAACCTGTGGCGGCGCGACGCCCAAAAAGAGGAAGCCCCAAACATGGAAATTACTATCATCTTATGTTGACTAGCAACATCTTCAAAAACGCTGAGCATTGCAATGGTGGTCTCACCATTTTAGCTTTCTCAAGCACGAGCGTGTGGCAGGGCTATGGGATCCTCACCATTCAGTTTTCCCAAGTCACGAACGTGCGGCAGGGCCATGGGAGATTCACTTTCTCAGCTTTTTCCCGAGTCAGTTTTGTGTTCATATTTACCAGGTCAGTGCACACGAGCGCCCAGACTCGAGATCTGTCGAGTCAGTCTTGCTCCAAGATCTACAAGGTCAGTCTACACGAGCGCCCAGGATCATCATCATCATCATCACCATCATCATCACCATCACCATCATCATCATCATCATCATCCGCCGCCGGGAAAATCGTTGATGATCCCCGCCTGACCCCGAACTTTCCTATCCCTCGGGGAGTATTATCGGGGTCACAGGGTTACATCGGTCGGTTATCTTTTGGCGCGGTCGTAGCGTTGCATGCCGGTTGCGTTTCCTTGTGGTGGGGTTTTCGGCAGTTTCTTTGGGGCCTCTTGGGGACCTTCTGATGCATTGTCGGGGGCTTGCTGAGATGCTCTGGAGTGCCTCTTCGGGACTTGTTGGGGGTCTCGTGGTCGTCTTGGGCGCGATGGTTCTACCGAGCTCTCCCGTAGAGGCTCGGTTGACCAATGTTTGGGCAATCTGGGCGGGTCTTAGATCTGTGTTAGGCTTCTTGGGGTGTTCTGAAGTGTTCTCACGGCGATCTGAAGCCGACTGATCGTTGGGAATATTGCAGACGTTTTCGGGCGTCTTGGGACCGTCTTTGGGCCGTCAGGGGCACCTGGAAGCACAACGCATGGGGACAAACCCCAGGTGGTGTTCACGCGATCGCCCCCAGCTGTGCCGACAGAAGCATCGTCGTCAGTCATTCGTTGATTGATTGGGTGATTGCAACCCTCCTACGCGAACGGTTAATATGCCCCAGCGCCTTGCGTTGCTGGCACCAAAACTGATATGGCTGCTGATTTTGTCTCTCTCTCTCTCTCTCTCTTCTCTCCACGTTCTGAACCATAGTAGTAGGCTGAGGATACCACCTAGTTGAATGAATAAGGTCAACGAGACAAAGGGCCACGTTCCAGCGGCTCCAGGGGCACCCAAAACGCCGCAGCATGGCGCCCAGGGTCTTTTGAAGAAGCTTCCGTGTACGCCCTGGAGAAGGAAGTGTATGAGAAGGAGAGGTAGGCGCGAACGGGGACGGAAGGAAAGGAAAATATATGTACGGGTCGCGAAGGCTCGACCAGGCAGGCAGACCAGCCATGCTAAGCAGACGTCACAAACCAAACCAAATCGACTGACCAGACCAAACAGACGAACCAGCAGAGCGAACATACGATCTAGCCGAGGCAGACCAACAAGACCAGCCAGACCAACTAGCTTAACAGACCAAGCAGACGATCCAGCAGACCAAGATGTCAACAAAACCAGAACACCAAACAGGCCGACCAGACCAACCACGCCAATCCGACCAAGCGGATGACCAAGCAACCAAACGAATTGATCGTTGAGATGGAGCAGACCAGCCAGACCAGTTAGACCGAGCAGACCAACGAAACCAATTTGACGAACGATACCAGATACACAGACCGAGCAGAGCGGCTAGACCAGACAGACCAATCACACGAAGATCGCACAGGTTGCCGTGAACGCTTGTTGCCCGACCGGGCCCTATACCTCTCCAAACCACCCTCGAGACTCTCGGCTCACACACACGGAATCCAAAGCTGAAGCTAGAACAGCAATCTTTTGCATCGAGCAAAACATGCAGCACCAAAACGAATGCAATGAACAATTGGTTTCTGGTCGAGGCGAAGGGCGCCGTGGGCTTCACACCCTCCACTCCTGTCTCACCCGCGGAATCCTACGCTGAAGCTAGGCCAGCAAAGTTGCAGCGCAAGACAAAAGCAACGCACAAGAAATCTGCAAAGCAACAATTGTCTTCTGGTCGAGGCGGGAGCGCCGTGTGCTTCACACCATCTCTGGATCTCTCCAGACCGCTCCCGTGTCACTCGCGGAGTCCTGAGTTGAAGTTGGAGCAACAATGCTGCAGCCAAAGTGCAAAGGCAGAGCTTGCTTTTAGATACTTAGCCTCCCACCGTGCGCTACACGGCCAGGAACTTGACGGACGTAGAGCCTCAATTCTCCAAGGTAGTGGGAGGGGCACTGAGTATTTAGAGCACTATTACCAGACAATTGCCAGGTATTCTGACACTCCAGAGCGTGCCGAGATTACGGGGTCGGAGGCCAGTTGCCCTGCGAGGCCTGCGTTTCTTGCAGGATTGCAGCGCTGCGGGTTTCGTCGGCTCGGGGCAGCACCAGCATCACCCCCACAGCAGACGCCGTGGCTCCTCGCGCGTCTGGACTGCCAGCGTGCTACGATGGCGCGGGGCCAAAGAGGCCAGAGCGCATTGGCAGAGATCGTGGCACTGTTGATCGATTTGGTTTTTGCACGGCTGTCTTCGCGCAGGCTCGATTTTCCAAGGTTTCGAAGTCTTCGGAGCACGGCACGGCAATGCACAAAGGTTCCAGGTATGGTCGGACCCCAGCCACAGGCCAATACCTAGTGTGGTTGTCCACGCTGATCTCGTCATGGCGCTTTGGGGTCGGGATTCTGGGATGCGCCCGCCCGGCGGCCCCCGAGGTGAACAAGGATGCCCCATCTTTGTTGCAGTACGCATTGCCCCTCGAGGACATTGGGGGGGCTCTCCGCCCTGTGCCGAGGGCTGCTCGGCGCACGCGCAGGAGGGGGATGGACGGGGAGGTCGAAGGGAGGGAGGCATCTGCGGTGCTGTGCCACGCAGGCTTCTTAAACGACCAAGGCATAATGATTTCTGTCTTCAACGCTTGCGCAACATCGGACATCATGTGTGATGCCGGCTGAGAAGCACACCATATCTTTATTTTGTGATTGGTTCATTGTAAATATTATGTCTGTTCAGGGCCCCATCGATGCTCCCCTTCGGTAAGACACCTCGGCTTGATAGGTGAATCTGGTTTGATGGAGCATTTTTGTTCCAGCCCTTGGGTTGCCTCTTGCTCATGGGAAGCCGCCACTTCTGACCGCGGTTGCCACACGCTGCCGTGCATAGTCCACGGGGACCAGAGCGGAGCCTCTCCCTTGCGCTCACCTCTGTGTGATCCAGGGCGCGGGTGCCTCGCGTTGTACCACCAGCCGCCCCTCCCCCTGTTGGCACTGCATGGAGGGCCCCCGATCGCGTCCTCCCTAGCCTCATAGGTTTTCGGAGGGCCTACAGGAGTTTACAAAAAGCTTCCAACATCACAGAGTAGCCATTCAGAGAAACTGAGGGGGGGGGGCAGAGCGGCCAGGCTGCCTCACCAAGCCTGTGAGTGCTCACGGCGCCTCCAGAGTTTCTCGAAAGTTCTCAGAGACCCCAATGGGCTTCAAATTGGCACCTTCAGGGAAGCATTGACACATAAGGCGCTTCGTGTGATGCAACCAACACTGCGTGATCGCGGGACCATGCAGATGGACATCTTCGCAAATCATTCCCAGGAACATGTCCCACATGCTTGGCACACGGGGATGTGCACCTCTTGCGTGCATGGCAATCTTAGCGAGATGGAAGATATCCGTGCGTTGCAGTGTTACGTATTTTGCGCGCGCATCGCCACCCACAGCGAAACACGAGGAGTCATATAGTGCACAGTCCGTGTCGTTGATACGGATGCCTTCCATGCGCGCGGTAATTCCATGACGCGACATATAGGCATGTACAATGCCAGAGATCGTCGAACGACTCCCACAACTTTTCAGATGCTTCGCAGGTTCTTTTCCCACTCAATCCCCCTGGCTTCATAGAACGCGGACCAGCGACATGGGCACGTGTGCAGCGCATGCTACGTGAAAGTTCAGAATTCAGACCTGCACAACACACGTGAGAGCGATTTGAGGACGCGTACAGCGCATTGTCTGCCAGGCGCCTCCATGAACGCCTGGCACTCCTGGAGCTCCCCAGCGTCTTCATAGAGCTTTCAGTTTGTGGGGACTTCAGGACGCCCCCGCGGGCTTCTCCAGACGGAGGGCCGCAGAAAAAAGATTGGAGGATGGCGGGGAACGCGGTGACACCACCACTCCGAGTTCTGCACGTTCTCCTTAACATACAGGGGCCGCAGGGAGTCTTAGGGAGTCTCCAGATCCCTGCAATAGGTCTGCGATGTTTGGCGGGGCATCTGTGGCACCGCCAACCTGTGCCCAGGGGTCCCTTCTGCGAGAGGACTACGGAGATTTGTGGAGTAGTGGAAGGTTTTCTCAGAAGCCCATTGCAAGCCGCAGGCTGCGGGCAACCTCCCATGCCGTCTTCTGCGGCATCGACCAGAGGTGTGTGCCGTAAGGTCAAACGAAAACGCTACACGCGTGCGCGGACCGTCAGAACTCCCGTTCCACACCGCTTCCATCATGTGTTTGCCCCACTGGTGGGGGACAGGGAAAGGACCAGGGCATGGAAGCAAACAGTGAGAAACGATCCCAGAATGCCGTGCGATCGGAGACGCCTGCGGCGCACCACCGCCGCCCCATGCCTTCTGGAAACGCATCTGTGGCCACACGTTCGGGCGACGTCTTGTCGAGCTATTAGATTAAGGGTTCCCCGAGCCGGTGTGGAAACCCTTGGGGGATGAAGGGGGGCAGAAAGAGAGAGAGAGAGAGAGAGAGATAGAAAAAAGAGAGAGAGAGAGACAGACAGAAAGAGAGAGAGAGAGAGAGAGAGAGAGACAGAGAGAGAGAGAGAGAGCGAGAGCGATAAGAGCGGGATGAGGGTGATGATGCGGAAGACAAGGAGGAGGTCTCTTGAGGGCTTCCTCGGCGGCCCTTGGGGGCCTCTGAGAGCCTCTTGGGGGCCTGACAGGGGCCTCGTGCGGGCCTCATGGGGGCCTGGCCTGAAGAGGTTGCTTGGTCTTCGGAGTTCGCCTTGGGGGCCTCCATTGGCAGTCTTGGGGGCGTCTTGGGACGCTGTTGGGCCGTCTTGGAGGTCTCTGGGACCACCTTGGGGATCTTGGAGCCGTCTTAAGGGGCCTCTTAGGCCGCCTTGGGGCCCTCTTGGGGGCGTCTGGGGTCGTCTTCGGGCTGCCTTGGAGGTTTCTGGGGCCGTCTTGGGCCGTTGGAAGTCCGAACGGGCGAGAGCACGAACTTTTGTGAACAACATACGGCGAAGCAGTGATGTTGGCCTCGTAGAGCCCTCCTGTAGAGCTCTTGGAACCCTCCTGAGTCGTATCGGGGGTATCTTGGGACGTCTTGAGTCGATGTTGGGCCGTATTGGGTCCACCTTGGGTTATCATTTGGCACGCCGACAACCCATCTTGCAAGCAACAGGGGGCGGTGGATCGAAGGCGCCTACGGCGAGTCACCGCGGCCTCCTGCCGTTTGGAAGCGCCTATGTGGTTGAACGTCGTGGCCAGAGCTCGGCCACGCTGTCGGACCATGTGTTCCCCCAGCCGTTGTGTATTTCTGTCTGGGCACACGTGGGGGAGAAGGGAAACGAGGAGGACAGGGAGTAAAAGGGAGGAGGAGAACGTTGTCGCCGCTGTCCAGGTAGAGCTACTGTCCTTGTCGGACGAGCGCATTCTTGGTATGTGGTGGGAGCCTCGAAGGGGCCGCTTGGCGCTTGGCTTCAAAGTGGGAGCGAACAGAGAGCACAGAAAAACGCAGGCCAGTCAGTTCGTGAGAACAGCCAGTTTCACAATACGCAGTTTCAAAATGACGGTTGCGTCCGAATCGTACCGCATGGTAGAGACATGTGCTTCCAGGCGCACATGTCTCGTGAGTTTCGAGCAAAAAATATCAGCCAGCATTGACCCCAAATAGATGAGAGGACAGGAGGAGGACGAGATGAGGAACGGAGGAGGACGAAAGGATGACGGGAGCACGACGGGAGGAGAACGGGAGAAGCAAAGTCAAGCAAGCGCAAGCAAGCAAGCGGAAGCAAGCAAGCGCAAACGAACAATAACAAGTAAGCAAGAGCCAGCGATCAAGTGCAAGCAAGCAAGGGCAAGCAAGAGCAAGCAAGCGAGAGCAAGCACGCAAGAGCAAGCAAGCAATTGACATTGGAAACAGGGGGGGCAATGGAAAAAGGGGGGGCATTGGAAAAAGGGGGGGCTAAAGACCAAGTATTCATGATGAGCTAGGATTCCTATAGGGCAAGCTATTTGGAGAACATCAATACGAAATTGTGGTACAAGGGGGCATGGTTCAAAGCGCACAGTCTTGAACGCCCCCCGGCTGAAAGGATCACGCGAGGAGTTGATGTCAGCATTTGTTGGGGTCTAGCCAGGGAAGCGGCCTTCAGACAGGGAGGCAGGGAGGAGGGAGGAGAGGCCCCAAGGCCCGGAGGAGCGAGACAGAGGCAGAGCGAGGAGGAAAACTGGAGAGGACAAGACAGGTGCAGCGGGAGGTTCAGGCAAGCAGGGCGCAGGACGCAGGATAGCAGCAAGCGGGAGGGTTGCCCCAGCTGGCTGCCGTCGGCCAGGCGTGCCAGAGGATGGCATCAAGTGGGCGTGTAGTACAAGTGCAGAACAGTTAGGGAGGCAGGTGGCATGGTGGACGGATAAGATACCTTGACAAAGCGATTGTGACCGCGAGGCCACCATGTTCCGTGAGCCCCACACCATTTCAAATTGACACGGATACCCCCCTCCCGGCTACCACACCACCCGCACGAGGCTGAGATGCCGCCAAGTTGTTAGACCGTTAGCCGCTGGCCGCACATGCAGATCGCATTCCTCGTGGGACCTCGTCGAGCTAGATCTCGCTCCAGCGGCATACCGTTCCCAGAGGCTGCCAGGGATTCCTAGTTCTAGGGGCTTCAAGGGAGCTTCTCTGGCCTCTGGAGGCCTTCTGGCGCTTCCAGAGAGCCCGCAGAGGCCTCGTCAACAGGGTCCCGCAGTTGGACGGACCATTGTTGGAGGGAATCAGTGCGAAGCTCTTTTCCAGGTGGAGGCTAGCAGTCGCCACGGACTGGCGGTGCGAGTGTGCAGTCCCACACCGTCTTCTTGCAGTACATCCTCTGGGAGACCTCTGGAGACCTTCTGGAAGCCCTTGTAGGCCCTTTGGGGTCCCTGGAGGCTCCCCAAAGGTCCTTGGAGGCCCCTGGACATTTCCAGTCTTCCAGAGGGCCCCTGGAGAGCCCCTGGGGCATCCGGATGCCTCCCAGGGCCTCAGAATGCTTCCAGGGGCTTCCAAGGGCGCGCAGGCCGGTGTGGCAGGGCTCACTCTCGGCGACCAGCAGCCCCCCCCCCCCCCCCCGCGAGAGAGAGCTTCGCGCCTCGAGCCTTCCGATCCTGAAGCCTTTGCATTGCCCACCCAAGGTAGCATGCGGACTTGTTTGTGCTCTGTTCTTGGGGGCGGGCTTGTGGCCGCCGCCGCCGAGCGCGGTTCTAGAATTGGTCAAATGTTGTTGTTGAAGGCCTCTGGATATAGCTCTGACCAGCATCTGATTCAGACCAGACATGTTTGTTGTTTGGAAGCGCATGTGAGCGCGTATGAGTCCACAGTCTGGCTCGAGCAGTTCTGGCTCTCGCCAAGTGCCCTCTGGGGTATAGTGGGACAGAGACGCCATGGCAGGACACGCTAGAGGCGGCAGAGGCGGGAAGGGCTCTTTCGAGCGCCTCTTCCAAAGGGACGACGCTGCAGTCGATACCGACCGGCCGCCGAGCGTACATGAGCTCTTCACGGCCAGCATGCGGGATGAGATCACGCTGCAGCAGTTCCGAGAGGCGCTCGTCGACATTCATGGTCTCGACATAACATCTGCAGCCGACAAGCTGATCTCCAGCGTGGATGCGGCCTCGGGACGTCTCAGCTTCGCCGATTTTCAGCGGGCCATGAGCCAAGTTGACAGCTCGGCTAGTGGCGGGGCGGGCAAGCCCGTCCACTACAAGGACCAGGCCAAGTCCATCATCTCCGACAACTCGGGTGCTGCGGCCCCCGCGCCATTGGCAATGCCGAAGAAACAACACAGCGACATATCCAACGATGCGTTCGTGATCAGGAAGACTGAGGTGGACAAGAGATCTGCAGCTAAAGGTGAGTGGGGCGCCAACCCTGTGCTGAGAACGAACCAGGTATCAGCAGGCAACCCCCTGGCGGAAAGAGTCGGGGCAGTTCTGCCCGGAGAGGACTCCTCCGAGCCCCGTGACATGGCCAACACGGCCACCCGGATGTTCGTGAGTGGCGAGCTGGATGCAGCCAGCTACGAGCAGTTCCTTCAGGGACTCGGCGTCGGGCTGTCCGACGAGAGCGAGATTCGGCGGCTAATTACCGCGCACAAGAAAACTGGGGACGGCAGCTTCACCAGGCTGTCGCGGGCAGTGCAGGCGGAGCTGGCCCGCGCTGGCGAAGGTTGAGATGCGTGGAGCGTTTTTCTTCGCCTCTGCCTTGGGCTGTCAGCACTCGACAGAAGGAGTCGCGGACGCCGTCGCCCAATAATTTGCCGCGGGTCGCGCTCGTTTCACGCGCGCGCTGCAGCTGAAAACGCGCCGTCTCCCTCTCGTCCCTCCCATCTCCACCCTCTCCTTCCCTTCTTTTCTCCTACTCCCCTGGCCCACTCGTTAAGACTGCATGTGTAACCAAGTCAGTGCAAAAAGTCTAGTCGCGCCGCTCTGCAACGCAGATCCGCTTCCGCGCTTCAAGGAGCTGCGCGGCAACGCTACAGCGTGGCATGGCTGCAGTGCTGCATTGTTGGTGCGTTACCTCTTGGCGACTTTTCGTTCGCCTTCTTGAGGCAACTTGGAGGCATTTTCGGTCTACCTCCGGATTATTCGGGCCCTGGGGCGCTGGCTCATGGGCCTCGAGGCGCCAGTTCCTGCTGTACTATGAGGCGCTATGTTTTGCAATGCCATGTAGCGTTGCGCAATGCAGCGCAACCGTATGCAATACTGTGCCATACTAGACTATGCTACGCGCTCCTATGTTATGCAATGCGTTGCTGTGCTATACCATTGGATGCCATGCTACGCAGCTTGATCCTGAGCCATGCTATGCCGTGTAGGAGGTCGGGGGTGTGCAAGCTTTGTCGAAGCCGCCCCCACACCGGAAGATCATAGTTCGTTTTGCCGTGTTTCAGTGCGTGCAAAGTTGTGGCACGTGTCCCGCCGGTGTCCCCATGGCGTCCCGCTGATGTCTTGTGTCCCCGACGGTGTCGTAGTGTCTTGGTGTCATGGTGTCATGGTGCCCCGATGTTATCCCGATGGATTTTCTGTGGTGCGGCGATGGCATTAGAATATTGAGGAGTAGTGGTGATAGTCACCAGGGAATCATACGTTCATGATAGCCAGCGTGAACCGCAAACAGTATGTCTGTAGCAATATATGTTGTGCAATCTATGCGGAGGTACAGTCGGACAGAGAGTATAAGATCGCGGTCGGTTGGGGGAGGGTGCCCTAGTGTTTTTCGTGTTGTTTGATGTTTTTGTGCATCTTGGAGAGGGTGCCCTTGAATGTTATGTTTTGTTCTGGCCGACGGAGGGTCTCATATTCTTGAGGGATGTTATTCTGGCCTCGGTCCGTCTATATATGATGCTATCCACGTAGTGCAATATACGCTGTGCAAGCTACATTGCGCAACTTATGTGATGCGACCTATGTTGTGCTATCTATGTTGTGCAATATGTATAGAATATTTGTGATATATATATATATATATATATATATATATATATATATATATATATATATATATATAGGTCGTGCGATCTACGTGGTACAAGCTATGTGGTGCAACTGATTTTTACCAATGATTTGACACATCCCACGCTCTTGCAAACATCCCACCCACCCACGCGCAACTTGGTTCGCAATAACTCTTAAGAGACTGACTACGACGACACCGACGACAACGACTACGACGACGTCGACGACGACGACAACGGACGACGACGACGACGAGGGAGGAGGGAGGACGACGACGGCGACAACGACGACAACGACGACAACGACGAGGGAGGAGGGAGGACGGCGACGACGCGAACGACGAAGAAGGAGTAAGGACTGCGACGCCGACGACGACAACGACGAGGGAGGAGGGAAGACGACGACGACAACGACGACGACGACGACGGCGACGACGGTGACGACGACGGCGACGGAATAGGAGGGACGACGACGAGACGCCGACGACGGACGACGACGACGACGAGGGAGGAGGAGGAAGGACGACCACGGCGACAACGACGAAAAAACGACTACGACGCCAAAGACGACGACGACGACGACGAACACGAGGAAAAACAGAGGACGACGTAGGCGACGACGACGATGACGCGGGAGAAGGGAGGACGGCGACGACGACGATGACGACGACGCAAGAGCGCGCGCGCACGCTTTTGTTGAAAATCCGTGTTGCGAAACCTTGTGTTTTTGTATGCTTCTTGGACACACGATTTTGAAATCCTTCGGTAACCGATGGGTTTTGAAGGTTTTCGGCATACGCGCGCGCGATGACGCGCGCGTCTGCACTTCGTACCATTTGTTGCAGAGGCTTCTCGCGACGGCACATGCGCGAGGGCGTTCGACAGATTTCGACATGCGCGCGCGCGAAGCCCGTTTGATATCATTTTGCGAAAATCTGGAAAACTCATGGTTTTCTTCAGATTTCGCAAGAGCTCGTGCGGACATTTTTTTAGCACATCAGTGTTGCGACCCTGTGCTTTTGTATGTGTTTTGGAAACTCGAATGCGAAATCTTTCCGGCACCGAAGGTTTTTGAAGGATTTCGGTACGCGCGCGCGACGACGCGCGCGTGTGCACTTCGTCCCATTTGTTGCAAGGGATTCGCGACAAAGTCTTACGTTAGAGCAAAACTGTCCCCGCTTATCGTTTTTTTTTACCAGGGAACCTCAGGGGGACCGATCCCAGCCCCTCCGGGATATTGTAAATCCGTATTTAGGATGGACATGTGGTCAGAATCGGATATGATTTACATACCCGAGAGGGGGGCGGAGAACGCCGGGGGGGGGAGGGGGGTAGATTATATATATATATATATATATATATATATACAAGGATAACTAATTTCTGTTCGCAGTGAGTTGTCCACCCCACTGCTCGCGCATACATCCCACCCACCCGCGAGTGCTTGGCGTTGGCTGGTGCATCTCTGCGGCCGCGCCAGCCCGCGCATGCGCGCGCGCAGCGGGCATGTAGATTGGCGCGACCGACGAGGCCGCGGTGGTGCTGACCACTCGGCACATCCCAGCGGGCTCTCGAGCGCGAGTCGGCGGCATGGGCGGGCGCGGTATCATGGCAACGTCGACAATTGTAGACACGATGACGATGATAGTGGCGATGTTGGTGGCGACGCTTGTAGACACGATGGCGGTGATAGTGGCGATGACGGCGCCGATGACGACGATTCCGTCCAAAACCTTCGAAGGTTTTGGACGGAATCCGACATGCGCGCGCAACAGACGCGCGAGAGTGGCTCGCATGGTATTATTCCCAACACTCCTGCGTTGGGTTCTCGTTTTGAATAGAGCACTGCTCGCGCGAACCTTCCCACCCCCACCCGTTCCTCTCTTCCCCCCTGCCTTCGCTCGTCGCTGCGTGCCAGCTGGGGGGCTGCGATATGTGAAACTGTCGCCACTTTCGAGGCCTGCTGGGGGGCCCAGCACAGTGGGTACCCACGGCGGACTCAAATTTGACCTCGCCATCCCTGGGGGGCTGCGATCTGTGAAACTGTCGCCACTTTCGAGGCCTGCTGGGGGGCCCAGCACAGTGGGTACCCACGGCGGATTCAAATTTGACTTCGCCATCCCTGGGCGGCTGCGATCTGTGAAGCTGTCGCCACTTTCGAGGCCTGCTGTGGGGCCCAGCACAGTTGGTACACACGGCGGATTCAAACTTGACCTCGCCATCCTTGAGGGGCTGCGATCTGCGAAACTGTCGCCACTTTCGAGGCCTGCTGGGGGGCCCAACACCGTGGGTACACCCCGCGGACTCAGATCAGACCTCGCCATCCCTGGGGGGCTTGAAACTGTCGCCACTTTCGATGCCTGCTGGGGGGCCCAGCACAGTGGGTACCCACGGCGGGTTCAAATTTGACCTCGCCATCCCTGGGGGCTGCGATCTGTGAAACTGTCGCCACTTTCGAGGGCTGCTGGGGGGGGCCCAGCACAGTGGGTACCCACGGCGGATTCAAATTTGACCTCGCCATCCCTGGGGGGGGCTGCGATCTGCGAAACTGTCATTACTTTCGAGGCTTGCTGGGGGGCTCAACGCAGTGGGCACCCACCGCGGGTTGAAATTCGACCTCGCCATCCCTGGGCGGCTGCGATCTGTGAAACTGTCGCCACTTTCGAGGCCTGCTGGGGGGCCCCAGCACGGTGGGTACCCACGGCGGATTTAAATGGTACCTCGCCATCCCTGGGGGGCTGCGATCTGTGAAACCGTCGCCACTTTCGAGGCCTGCTGGGTGGCCCAGCACAGTGGGCACCCACGGCGGATTCAAATGTGACCTCGCCATCCCTGGGGGGCTGCGACCTGTGAAACTGTCGCCACTTTCGGGGCCTGCTGGGGGGCCCAGCACAGTTGGTACCCACGGCGGATTCAAACGCGACCTCGCCATCCTTGGGGGGCTGCGATCTGTGAAACTGTCGCCACTTTCGAGGCCTGCTGGGGGGCCCAGCACAGTGGGTACACACGGCGGATTCAAATCTGACTTCGCCATCCTTGAGGGGTTGCGATATGTGAAACTGCCGCCACTTTCGAAACCTGCTGGGGGGCCCAACACCGTGGGTACACACGGCGATTCAAATTGTACCTCGCCGTCCCTGGGGGGCTGCGATCTGTGAAATTGTCGCAACTTTCGAGGCCTGCTGGGGGGCCCAGCACAGTGGGTACACACGGCGGGTTCAAATTCTACCTCGCCATCCTTGGGGGGTTGCGATCTGTGAAGCTGTCGCCACTTTCGAGGCCTGCTGGGGGGGCCAGCACAGTGGGTACTCACCGCGGGCTCAAATTTGACCTCGCCATCCCTGGGGGCCTGCGATCTGCGAAAGTGTCGCCACTTTCGAGGCCTGCTGGGGGCTCAGCACAGTGGGTACCCACGGCGGGCTCAAATTTGACCTCGCCACCCCTGGGGGGCTGCGATCTGTGAAACTGTCGCCACTTTCGATGCCTGCTGGGGGGGCCAGCACAGTGGGTACACACGGCGGATTCAAATTTGACCTCGCCATCCCTGGGGGGCTGCGATCTGCGAAACTGTCATTACTTTCGAGGCTTGCTGGGGGGCTCAACGCAGTGGGTACCCACCGCGGATTGAAATTAGACCTCGCCATCCCTGGGCGGCTGCGATCTGTGAAACCGTCGCCGCTTTCGAGGCCTGCTGGGGGGCCCAGCACAGTGGGTACA